TAAGAAATGCTACATACATTGTATAAAGTAATCAAATGAATAAAAACACTGCGTGTTCTTCTGTGTAAATAAAATATATCTATTTCTTCTCATTAAAGTTACAAAAGTGATTTAGTCAAGAGCAGTGAGAAATTTCCTCTCTTTTGTTGTTTGATTAACATGAATAACAGACAGCAGCAATATTAGACTGCTGTCACTTTAAAGGGGTCATATGATGCGATTTCAAATTTCTCTTTGAAGTGTTACAAGCTCTTGGTGCATAAAGAAGATCTGTAAAGTTGCAAAGACTAAAGTCTCAAATCCAAAGAGAAATTCTTTATAAAAGTTAAGAGTCAGCCACGCCTACCTAAAACAGTGCATAAAAACGGCATATTCTTCACTGTGTAAATTAAATATATATATATATATTCTTAATAAAGTTACAAAAGTTAGTCAAGAGCAGTGAGATATTTCCTCTCTTTTGTTGTTTGATTAACATGAATAACAGACAGCAGCAATATTAGACTGCTGTCACTTTAAAGGGGTCATATGATGCGATTTCAAATTTTCCTTTGGAGGGTTACAAGCTCTTGGTGCATAAAGAAGATCTGTAAAGTTGCAAAGACTAAAGTCTCAAATCCAAAGAGAAATTCTTTATAAAAGTTAAGAGTCAGCCACGCCTACCTAAAACAGCTCGTTCTAACACGCCCCCACATGTCTACGTCACGATGTGGGAAGATTTGCGTAACGCCGCCTGAATGTTCACGCAAAGAAAGAAGGCGTAACTTTAATTCTTGCTGTTGCCGCTACTGCCATGTTGTGGAGTCGCTGTGTGTTTCGTTGTGAGAAACTTAGCAAAGACGTCGGTAAAATAATCCATGTGACGTCAGTCATTCAACCATAATTTTACGAAGCTACGAGAATACTTTTTGTGCACAAAAGAAAAAAAAAACACTTTATTCAACAATTCGTCTCCTGAAACGTAGCAAAGACGTCGGTAAAATAATCCATGTGACGTCAGTCATTCAACCATAATTTTACGAAGCTACGAGAATACTTTTTGTGCACAAAAGAAAAAAAAAACACTTTATTCAACAATTCGTCTCCTCCGCGTCACCCTGGCGCCATTTTGGCGTATGTTATTCTGTGTCAGCTGCCTCACGCGGATACGTTTTTTGTGCGCACAAAAAGTATTCTCGTAGCTTCGTAAAATTACATTTGAACCCCTGACGTCACATGGATTATTTTACCGATGTCCTCGCTACATTTATGGACCTTGATCGTGGTAATTACATTGCTGTCTATGGGAGGGTCAGAGAGCTCTCAGATTCCATCAAAAATATCTTAATTTGTGTTCCGAAGATGAAGAGAGGGCTTACGGGTTTGGAACGACATGATGGTGAGTAATTAATGACAGAATCTTTGGGTGAACTAACCCTTAAAGACCTAAATTACTGCGTTTACAAGGAAACCGTACAGAGGTGTTTGTATTTAACCATTCAAGGCCTTTCAACCATTCAAGCAGCAAAAAGTATCTCTCTGACAGTGCTCAGAAACAGTCTCTCAGACAGCACGCATATAGTGAAATGACTTCTCTTTCGCTGCTGATTGCATTTCAGCCACTTAAAATCACTTGTTTTTAAACCGCAATGCTTAAAAACGCGTGCAAATGATTTCGTTTTTTTCACAGCAACATCAAGTGAGCATGTAACCATGATAGTCCAAAATCTCTACCGGTGGACAAATTTCTACTGGTTAATTGTGTGCAGAGCCGATCCTCCCTATACGCAAAGTACGCAAGCTGACTAGTTTCATTCATTCATTCATAACTGTGAGGAGGGTCCCCACGGCTCTGATTGTGTGTACCAGTATATCGCCCACCCATAAATCCATTGTTGATTTTCATTATCCATTTTCAATAATTAGCCTTAATTTGAGTTTACTTATAGTTTTGGTGTAAATTTGTTGCTAGAAGTGAGCTACAATTTTTTTTTTTTTTTGTCATTTGGAAAAATTATGCGTAAATGAATTAATGTTGTTCTAGCAGTGAAAGCACCATAAGCAATCTTGTGTTTATTTAGACTATCATCTGACTGACTAACATCAGTTTGAAGTGTGTAACTGACAGGATCTGGAGCATTAAACTTTGAGCAGATTTATTAAAGCTTTTCTTTAAATCATTTCCCCTTCAGAAAGGATTTGATGTCTTTAATGCACTGGACCTAATGGAGAACAAGACATTTTTGGAGAAGCTCAAGTTTGGCATTGGAGATGGAAACCTGCAGTATTACCTCTACAATTGGAAATGCCCCAGCATGGGGTCAGAAAAGGTACAGGTTCTCAGATGTCATAGACATGACTGACGAATAAAATCAGTCCTTTTTTAGTCGGTCAAAGTCAAGTTAAGTTCATTGGCTTGTACACTAATTTAGCATTGACAAGTTAATTCACTAGGTGGCCATAGTGCTTCACAATCTGGCTCCCAAAGCACCTAGGTGTCACTTTGTGTGGTTATTTTTTACATTTAATTTTTTTCATTTAGCATTTTATTTCTTTATTTGAATTCAATGTGTAAAAATCCTAGAAGTTTAATATACAGCGTACTGAGCTGCCATAATTATTTATTTATTTATTTATTTTTTAGGTGGGTTTGGTTCTACAGTGACCCATTCCACCATCCATAATCTGTGTCTCGCATGACAGCGAGGCGGATTTATGACATCCTGCACTGACCATCTGACAGATGCTACCAATGGACTTCCTGCTTCAGGAAGGAGTATTCACCGGCCATTTTTAAGTTTGAACTTTGACCTTTTGGACCTGCACTACTGCTGCCAGACTGAGAGAAGATGTGTTCTCTTCTCTCTTATTTCTCTCTCTTTCCCTCCCTCACTCTTCTTCTTATTCTCTCTCTGCGCATGGACCTAAAGCCATTGTAATTACCATCATCAGAGATGAGGAACCTTAATCTGTTATGATTGTTAACAACAGTGCACACACACATACATGCTCATAGGTAACAACAGACAAGCTCATGATGAACCCTGATGCATAAGTTTTGCGCTATTCGCATCGGTAGATTCAACTTGTTCAGTATAACATGATTTTACTCTCCCTATCCAACGGGAGGTGCTTTTTGCAGAAACATGGATGAAAATGTTTATTTCCTCAGTGTTTTAGAAAAGAACAGACAACAATCAAAGACACTTGAAAATTCCAAGAGAAAAAAAAACAGCCAGTGAAATCATAAAAATCCCAAGTGGACATGACAAGGGCTGCTGTCAATGATTTTCCTGTGGGCATTCTCTCCTTCACACATCTTAAACTGTTTCTTGCCGTGTCTCTACTTTCTTTTGACAAACGTTGACCAACTGACGGATGCGGTACATGGCGAACAAGATGTTTTTGTCCTGGTTTTGCTTTGTCATTGCTTTTAATCTCTCCTCTAATCAGTTTTTTGCTTATTTGTCTCTTAACTGCCTGTGATCCCCTTTCACTGTATTGCCAACAGAGAAGCACCGTCTGTTTTCCAGAAACAAGGAGACAACGAGAAATACCATATAAGATCCACAAGTTGACAATGGATGAAACATTAATGTATACCTGGCAGATTAGGGAGGGGGATCATCATAAATTAGCAATAATGATGGTGTTTTTTTCAGGAAACGGTTTGGATTGGGGTGGGTGGGGGAGCTAAAACATGGAGTTAAGAATGAAATGTGGTGATTTGTGTTGTGGAAGATAGATTTTGCCTGCTCATAAAGTTGTACAGCTCTATAAGGATTGGAGAGGATCCTGACTGTATTGTAACTCTTATTTCCAGCAAATGGAAGCGGATTGATGTACCAAATCAGGACAGTTTTATGAGTGACTGGCAGTATCTATTTAAAGTTGTGGTTTTCTTGAACATAGTATGGGTAATTTGAGGAAACGGGTTGTGGAAAGTACAATGGAAGCAACTGAAAACGGGTCTTTAGGTTTTTATGATGGAGTGAAAGATGTCAACATGTATTACTTTTTTTTTTTTTTTTGTGCTAAATAAAAAGTAGCAGCTGCTGTGGATGGTTGGGTTTTGGTTTGTCATTTCTTAGTTTGGTCTCTCATTGTTTCACACGTAAATCCAAATGTTTTTCTTTAATGCTGCTATTCCCTCTGCACATGTGTTTTTCGTTCTTGGTGTAGGAAATTTTAAGTTTAGCCACCACCAAGACCAGTCAAACCTCAATAAGTTCAACAACATGTTTTGCTCTTTTAATGCCCATGACTACAGCAACGTGAAACATTTGTCTTGTAGATGTGTTTATTATAGACCCTTGAATCAGACTAGTATAGAAACTGCCTGATTTATTTCAAATTCTGCAACATGCACTAAAAGTTTAGAGCGTGTAATTGCTTCTAATGTATTGAAAAACGTCTCTCTCTTTGCAGTTGAAGCTTGTGTATGTAACGGTTGAAGAGTTTTGCACTCTGTTCTACAGATTCAGACTTGGAGCAGGAAATGCTGATACTTGAAAGCTTAGCGAGGTCTCCGCTGAATCACATTGACGCATTAGAGAAGAAATTAAATGTGCATAAATGTTTATAGCTGATGTTAAACTATTGTTAATTTTCTGACCAATTTACATCTAACCACCGACAAAACCTGTGAACGGTTCCACTGTCATCTGCTCACTGGCTTCTAACAGGAAGTGATATATATTAACACACATAGTTTGTGTGTGTGTGTGTGTGTTAATGAGGACACAAATTTGTATAATAACATGGGTATGACATAGGTATTACAACGAGAAGGTGATTTATGAGGACATTTTCAGTGTCCCCGTAATTCAAAAGGCTTATAAATAATTCAGAATGAGTTTTTTTTGAAAATCTAAAAATGCAGAATGTTTCCTGTGAGGGGTAGGGTTGGTGTAGGGCAATAGAAAATACGGTTTGTACAGTATAAAAACCATTACGCCTATGTAGAGTCCCCATAAACCATAAAAACAAACCTGTGTGTGAGTGTGTTTTGACAGTGCAGCGTCTGAAATCAAAGCACTTCTACACCTGCCATCTTTGCTTTAATTCCTCTCTTCTGTCTGACGATCATGGCCAAACTTAAGATGACTGATCATATTTACAGTAATACTGCTCCACTGTCCAGGGAGAGGCTGGAGGCTACACATGGATGTAAGTGATTCTTGATTTGTTCTTATCTGACTGAAATTTCACTCGGTTATGTTGTGTGTATAATAAATAGGCTCTATGATTAAACGCTTACTCTTTTGTACAATTTTGTTCAGGATATTGTTCTTTTTAAGCTTCTGTCGTCATATATTTGAAAGCAAAAATGTAAATCTTCTGAGAATTTACCTTCAAGCCATCCAAGAAGTAGATGAGCTTGTTTCTTCAGAACAGATTTACCGAAATTTAGCCTTACATTACTTGCTCATCAATGGATTGATTGTATTAGTGTCCAGGTTCTTCTTCTGTTCTCCTCTTCCTGTCACTGCCGGCTAATGGTGTCTTGTTATACCTGTGTGAGTATCCTCAAGTTTCATATACACAAAAACACACATACCACAGACGTGGTACAGTCTTAATTTTACACTATGCATTATTTTGATAGTATTACCGATTTTACAGATTACAGCAATGGCACAAATCATTTAATGGAATGTGGGCCAGAAACAAATTACTCAAATCCAGGCGGATAAAATCCAATTGTCACCTGGTTTCTTACTTTAGTGAACATATATTAACAATTAAATATCTGAGGTATGATTGATCATGTGTCCCGACAGTTAAAAAAAACAGGCCGTTTACATCTGCTATTTGCAATTGTCTAAGGTTAGCCAAACATATTGGATTTATACATTTTTCAACAGAATCACTGGAGTGAAGAATTCATATTCTTAAAGCGATAGTTTCTGTCTGCCTCATTCTGTCACCCTCATGTCGTTCCAAACCCGTAAGACGTTTGTTCGTCTTCGCAACACAAATTATGATATTTTTGATGAAATCCGAGAGCTTTCTGACCCTCCCATAGACACCCAAAGGAACTACCACGATGTCCCTGCTTAGTTTCTGTGCCTGGACCGTGGTAGTTCCCTTGCTGTCTATGGCGGGTCAGAAAGCTCTCGGATTTCATCAGCAAGTATATTACTACATTTAAACAAAGAAGCATACAGATAGTCTTAATATACTTTTGCCAGGTTCTACTCTTCAGCACAATAGTAACCTCAAACATAGGGTAGAGTGGGGGAAAACATAAGGTACGTTTTTGTTGTTGTTATACTACGCTGACAAGAGTAATGTAGAAGTACTTGTTAGAAAACTCTCTGTCTTGAGAATGTTCCAAATATGTCTCACCCCTCCTTTCTTTCCCTCTCCCTCGCACTCTCCCTCCTCTATCTGTTCTCTCTCTCTCTTGTATGGTGTTTTAATGTCTCTTACTCATATTCGAGGTAGGCATGCGCACATGTATACATTAGTTGCTTGGTTCAAATGCCCAAATAAGGAGATGAATGCTAGGACTACGAGGTAAAGGAGTTCGTGCTGAACTGTGAGGAGGGTTCAGCATCCTTCGCCAGGAAGTCTATTCCTAATATGTACATGTTTTTCTGTACATGTGACCATTTTATACAAAACACATGTTCTTGGCCAAAGATCCTATATGTGTATGTCATTCTATCCTCATTGGTTAAGAGGGTGAAACTCCCCTCGACATATGCCTATATAAGATCTGTATTTCTATGAATAAATTGAAGTATTGAGAATACATTGACTGTGTGTTTTCTTGCTTCCCGGCCGTTATACACTTTAAGGAACTGAGAATTCTTCAAGGCGGCAAAGAGATACGAGGGACAAATTGTTATTTATTAACAGTACTCACTGTGAAGTTTGCACTGGCAACATACCTGAGAGAAAATTGATTTCTCCGGTAATTGATCTAATTTTCAGCAGTAAGAAAAAAGTGTATTAAAGCTTGTTGTTTTACAGAACATCACAGTTATATATGATATGAGAATAGTAAGGCATGTAGATAGGTAATACGTCTTATTTAAGGAAAATTTAATTATATTTTCATAATGACAAGTTGTTGTTTTATTAATTCAAACCTAGTCTGTGGGGTAAAACTCCCCCTAGCCACTTGCTTCCCACTATAACCATGTTCTGAGCATCACGTCTTTCTTTTTTCCAATCAAATGTAATCTAACTAGGTGGTTGAATTAAAATATTTGGACTTTGTTTAAAAATTACCTCAGGTTACCTCATCAATAGTCCAGAGATTTGAGACCTTATTTAGCTTGTTTTGTGTGGAGCTTATAATATGACAAAACTAATTGAATTTGTATTGTGTAAATTTAAATTATTGACGTGACATTTAACAAAACTGAATATTATGTGGCATTTAACATGGTTCTGAATTAGATTTTTTTGAACTTGAATATTAAACATTTGAACTTTAACACAACTGAATATTTTTATGGCAGAGTTTTAAAGACATTTTCAAACAGCAATTTTTTTGTTCTAAAATCTTAGACGGCAAATAAACAGTTTTTTAAAATGCAATACAGTTTGCAAGATGAAGAGTAAATTCCTTTAACACAACTGAATATTTTTATGGCAGAGTTTTAAAGACATTTTCAAAAAGCAATTTTTTTGTTCTAAAATCTTAGACGGCAAATAAATAGTTTTTTAAAATGCAATACAGTTTGCAAGATGAAGAGTAAATTCGGAACATCAAATTCAATATTCTAAAATTCAATACGCAGAAATTAAGATAGTAGAGAGGTAATCCACAGGGAAGAGTAGATGATCTCCGAAAAGTCAAACGACGCATTTGGGCCAATTAGTTTTCTGGTGTGAGCGTGCGGTTCAAGATCTACCTTATCATGAATCGGCCAGAGGTAGCCTAAGTGATTCTTAAACATTTGTGACCCTGGAGCACAAAACCAGTTTTAAGTCGCTTGGGTATATTTTCAGCAATAGCCAAAAAAACATTGTATGGGTCAAAATTA